CACACACACACACACACACACACACACACACACACACACACACACTTGTTTCTTGACTCTGTGGGGACCTTCCTTCTAAATGAGACTTCCTGTCATTTCCACAGCTTCACTCTGACTCCTAACCCTAAACCCAACTGAAACCCTACACCTGACCGTGGGTTAGTACCCCACAAGTAGGAATACCCACCTGTGCACAGTTTCTACCATAAACACCTGTAGGACTAACAATGACTGAGGAAGCAGGTAAAAACTGAGACAAGGTGATGCTGACATGAATCTCTGGGTCAGTTAGTGCTTAACACGTAGAAATCATTATTTTAGGTATAAATCTGTTTGTTCTCCAAAACAAACCGTGTCCCTCTGAGATACAACTGCAGGTTAGGTGGTGTGTGGAGGGAAACGAGGAGCTGAAACGTGCATTTTACTGTGGCAGGAAATGCTGTCACGTCCTTCACAATAAGAGCACCAGTTAAAACAACTGTCACATCCTTCACAATAAGAGCACCAGATCAAACAATGCCTGACTGAGTTTGTGTGTTTGTGCAGCAATCGAGCAGAGCATCGAGCAGGAAGAGGGTCTCAACAGATCATCAGCGGACCTCCGGATCCGAAAGACACAGGTGAGCTGAGTGCAGGTGAGGGATGAAGCTGAGCATCATCATCATCATCATCATCAGTCTGCTCACTGCAGCCACCTGGTGGTGAGGAGAGGAGCTGCAGCAGCAGCAGCTTACACAACCACAGGGATGTGTGCAGAGATAACACCACCTCTGCAAACACAAAGACACAAAAATAACTCACTTTGTGCTCACAGGCACAAACTGTTTCCATCCATCAGCCCTGATTACACAACAAAAGCTTTATTTCCTGCAGCTAAATGCAAGCTGGTAGAAATGTTTCCCAGTGGAACCAGTTCAGATCCAAGTCCTCCCTCCTGTCCTCCTGCAGCACTCGACGCTGTCACGCAAGTTTGTGGAGGTGATGACCGAGTACAACACCACGCAGTCCAAGTACCGCGACCGCTGCAAGGACCGCATCCAGAGACAGCTGGAGATCAGTGAGTACACAACACAGTACTCAGTACTACACAACATACTGCACACACCACAGGTCAGGGGTCATGGTGACCTACAGGTGTTCTGGTTCTGACTCGTGTCTCTGTCTGCAGCTGGAAGAACCACCACCAACGAGGAGCTGGAGGACATGTTGGAGAGCGGCAAACTGGCCGTTTTCACTGATGATGTAAGCAGCACACCTGAGCCCTGCTGCTGCTACGGTTACCTGCAGGAGGCGGGCTCAAATATGCCTTTGTCACATGACTGCAAGGGGGCAGAAATATGAGATAAATCTTGTGCCAGCAGGAACTGAATCTGAATGCATTGGTTTGAAAATAAATTTCACTAAATTGAAAATGAATTTAAAGTTTTGTATCTGAATTAATTTTCTTTGAAACTGTATTTTGGTTTATTAAAAATTCAGTTTGACTACTTTCACTTTCAGTTCCATAATTCAGATTTTTGTGTCACATCCTGGTCCTTGAGAAAGCCAGGCAGAGTAATCAAACACAGATCCACAGATTTATGTTTCACTTTGGTGAAGTTTCCCTTCTGGATGTAACAGAGTTGATGCAATCCACTGTAAAAGTGACAAAAACACACAAAGTTATTTTATTGCAGTGATTAATTTGACCTGTATGTAGAAAATGTTACATTTACATGATGACATCATGGATCAGTCAGCAGCAGCATCTGATCAATATGTGATCCATGATGTAAATGTAACATTTTCTACATACAGGTCAAATTAATCACTGCAATAAAATAACTTTGTGTGTTTTTGTCACTTTTACAGTGGATTGCATCAACTCTGTTACATCCAGAAGGGAAACTTCACCAAAGTGAAACATAAATCTGTGGATCTGTGTTTGATTACTCTGCCTGGCTTTCTCAAGGACCAGGATGTGACACAAAAATCTGAATTATGGAACTGAAAGTGAAAGTAGTCAAACTGATTTTAAACCAAAATACAGTTTCAAAGTAAATTAATTTAGATACAAAACTTTAAATTCAGTTTCACTTTATTGAAATTTATTTTAAAAACAATGCATTCAATTTCAAATTATGAAGATTTATTTATCCCATACAGAAACTGCAGGTGTTTTGTTTATCATCAAGACAAAGTGTTTATTTTTTTTGTCCTGCAGATCAAAATGGACTCTCAGATGACCAAGCAGGCCCTGAACGAGATCGAGACCCGACACACTGAGATCATCAAGCTGGAAAACAGCATCCGTGAACTCCATGACATGTTCGTGGACATGGCCATGCTGGTGGAGAGCCAGGTGGGTCACATGACCTCAGAGGGTCACGGGGAACGCCGCGGGTCCAACGTTCTGACCTCTGACCTCTGCCGTGTGCGTTTCAGGGAGAGATGATTGACAGAATTGAGTACAACGTGGAGCACTCTGTGGATTACGTGGAGCGAGCCGTCTCCGACACCAAGAAGGCCGTAAAATACCAGAGCCAGGCTCGTAAGGTAAGACACACCTGTGAGGTCACCTGGTGGAGGGTTCTGCTCTACACTGTTGTATAAAGTACCACAAAGTCATACCTGATTAAAAGTACAAGTATCTTACTAAAAAATGACTTTGCTAAAAGCTAAAGTCTCCTTTAGGAATATWACTTGAGTAAAAGTGTTAAAGTATGTGATATTTGCTGTAGTTAAGTATTAAAAGTCAAAGTGTAGATTTAAAACGAGCAGTTAGATTTTCTGTAAGGACATTTATTAGGAGGTGACCTCCCCAAAAACTGCAGAAATGACTGTTGTATTAAAAGAATGAATGGATGTTAAATTTAGGATGCACTAGTCCAGCTGTTTCAGTTTATATACAGTTAAATTCACTCTATCTAGGAGGAACAGTTTATATGGATAGTATTTATTTTTTACCATAACAAGCTGCAATGAAAAAAAGTAACAACTTTCTACTTCCTGTCTTTTTTAAATATGTAAGAAGTAGAAGTAAAAAGTAGGCTGAAAAATATTTACTCAAGCAAAGTACAGATACCCAAAAATTCTACTTAAGCACAGTAAAAAAGTATTTGTACTCAGTTACTTTACATCTCTGCTGGTCTGAAGCTCTGAGGCAGGTCAGACAGGTCCAGCAGTCAGGTCTAATCCTGGTCCTTCTCCGCCCTGCAGAAGAAGATCATGATCATCATCTGCTGCGTCATCCTCGGCGTGGTCCTGGCGTCGACCATCGGCGGCACGCTGGGCCTCTAGGACGACCCACGCAGACCAACCGACAGCCAGCAGAGAGAAGAAAACAGCAACGACAACACAAAAACTTGAAACACAAATGCAAGACAGATAACCAATCAACTAGGAAGAGATCAGATTTAATCACAGATAAGAGGAAACACCACGGGTTTGGGCGGGGTACAAAAAAACAAAGAAAACACGACATCACATATAGCTGACTTATCCAAACAACGTAAACAAAGAGAGGGTACAAATATTTATTACAGATGTAAATGTATTAAAATATGAAGCAACAGATGGGTTAGCTACTTGTAAAAAGAACAGCCTAGGACATTTACTTGTTTGTTTCTTCAGCTTTTTCTTATTTTGTATTGTTTGTTTGTTTGTTTATTGTGAGTCTCCGAGGACAGTGACGGCTGCTGGGTGGGAGTTCTTACGGTCACTTCTGGAAACAAACACTCAACTAAAAAAAAAAACTTCCAGAGAGGTCAGAGTCAGGGCCGGTTCTGAGGCAGTCTGGAACGTCTCGCCGTTGGTTTAGATCGCCACTCTGCTCGCTCCTCATTGGTTGCTTGCTCCTGTCACTCACCTCGGTCAACCTGCTGAGCTCAGAGCCTAAATCCTGTCCCGCTGACGAGGCGGCGCCGGCCTCTTTTACTGTTGGACCCGTCCAAACAAAGATCAGGGGGCGGGAGGACCTCTGGTCTTCACTAGTCTGATTGGCCAGCTGACGTTTGACTAACAGGTAAATGTTGGGGAGGAAGTGGGGTAGGAGGCTTTAACGGAGGGTGGGAAGAGACGGACAGTTAATCTATGCAGTTAAAAGAAAGTCCCGTCCTCCTCTCTGTTGGGAGTCAAGGCCGGGCTCCGTTGGCCTGTTTCCAATCCTTGTAATGGTTGGCACAGCCAGGTTTCTTGACACTACCCATACCAAGACAACCAATGAGAACGGGGGATTCATGCTGACGCACCAAGAGCCTCAACAGAACGAACGAGAAGACCTGAAAAACAGAAACGAAYGAAGGAGTTCTCCGAGCGTGGCGGCGATCCCGTTTGTTTTTTTTTTTAACGGGGAGCGTTTGATGCTTTGTGTCGTGCTGCTGTTGTGATGCATGTGTGACGTGTCCTGTGAAGCCTGGCATGGTGTTGGTGTTTAGCTGGTGTGATGCGGTGTGTCCTCGCCGTATCTCACCTGTGTGTGTTTGTGTTGGAGGTCTGTGACGCTTCGGCGAAGGTTTCTTTCCATTTCAGGAACCTTAACGACTGAATCGCACTGCTGAGTGTTAAGATCTATTTAACAAGCTGGTGTTGTGCCAAAATTTAGTGTCATCCAAAAATAAACTTACTTTTTGTTCCATTTTTTAAACAAATGAACTATCAGCTGGATATTTAGTTCATTTTACGTTCTGAAAGTAAAGCTGAGTTTTTAATGGCAGACATGTTTAAACGCAGTAGAAACTGAGTGGAACATTGATTTAGAAGCTAGCATGTAGCATCTCTGCAGAACCCAAATTATCTGACTAAACCCAGCTGGAACACACATTCCTCCACAACGTGAACACACAAGTTTGTGAACACGCTAAAATCTCCCCTTCGTCACAACCGTCCCCGTCTTAGCGCCAGTGTCATCGTCAGACCGCGCTGCTTTGCATGAATTAGCGTTTGTAGCATTAGCTTGTGTTTGTGTAGAAGCTTGTTGAATTTTTAGCTCCTGGTTTTGGTCTTTTGTTTATTAAAGTGGAAGCAGTGAGTCCGGTCCAGCGCTGGAGAAAACCTGGCTGAAAGTTTGTTGCTGCGTAATCAGGAATTTTTTCTAATGAAAAGGGATTTGAGTTACACAAATTTACAAATATTTCAAATTAAATAAGTCACTTTAAAAATAGTTTTATTAAACTGTGTTAGCATTAGCACTCTAAGCCTGCACAATGCACTCGCTACAGAGAAGATGCTAATTTGGAAGCTAATTAAAGCTAACATGAAGGTGTGTTCAGGTCAGCGCTGCTGATTGGGGACAAAACACACACCTGTTACATTTTAAGACTTTCTTTGTTGTAGTTGCATGTTTTATTCTGATGATGGTGACGTGATATTTGTTGAAACGTAACAAAATATGTGCGTTGTCCCAAATTAATTAAAACGCTGAGTGGAAAAGTTACGAAGCATTAAGATGTTTTTAGGATGCACACAGAGGAGAAGCTACGATCGATTAAACAACACAAGTGCAGATAGTTTTAAAGTGACGCAGCTAACAGTATTACAGTATAATTATGGACGCTGTCATCCAGGAACTGTATGGACCAAACTATGGTCTTGGTGGAACCCCTCTGGTTTGGACTGAATAAGAACAAAATGAAACGGATCCTTGGTCCAGACATGAAGTGGCCCGTATTAAACTGCATTTAAACTAATAGTTTTATTCTAAAAGTTGTTCCATTTGGTCCATAAAGACAGCTGGTGTCCATCTGTCCACTTTAAACTCTGAATGTTTTGTGACYGTTCGTGGTTAGCTGTCAGAGCGGGCTGAGGTTTTAGGGAGGAAGGTGCTCAGGCTCTGTGATACGGAGGTCACTGAACTTCTGTTGAGGCCGACGCTGAAAGAAATACCACCGTGAACTCACTCAGCACTTCAAGCAATACGTTAGCTTTTAGACTTAGGGACGTAGTCATTGTTTAGTGTAATATCTGTATTTTCTCTGGAGATGTAGTAGTTAGCATTGTTAGCTTTTGATGTCTGTGATGCTCAAAACTGTTGTAGCTTCAGGACGAAGGGAGGTTTTATTTAGTTATTGTTATTCTTTGGTTTTCCTAAACCAAAATGGCTGATTCACCAAAGTTTCACCCTTGTGACACGTCCCAACAGCGAACTAATGTCTCTGAACAAACTGCCGGTTGTTTGCAGAAGTGATTCCCACATTTTTAAAAATCCCAGTAGATTTTAGTGATTATAAACCCGTTTGTCAGCTTGATGCTTCGCTCACCAGAGTCAACTGCAGAATATTTCATTCAGCTCTGCGTTCTCGGCGGCCGATGCCGGTCCTGGTGGTCGTCTGTGGTTTATGGGGTGGTGATGGTGGCGGACAGAGACTAGAGGTGTGAGGATGTTGTTGCAGCTAGCTTCAAGTGGCTCTGCCGTGTGTTTCCTGTAAATTTTCTGTTTTTACATCAATAACTGAAGAGGGCTTGTTTGGTCGAGGGTTTGGACCTGGAGCGTCTGAACCCTTGAGTGATCGACCCTGAGCGTTTGGACTTTGAGAGATCAGACCCTGAGAGTTCGGACCCTGAGAGGCTGGACCCTGAGAGTTCGGACCCTGAAAGTTTGGACCTTGAGAGTTTGGACCCTGAGAGTTCAGACCCTGAAAGTTCGGACCTTGAGAGTTTCGACCCTGAGAGTTCAGACCTTGAGAGTTTGGACCCTGAGAGTTCAGACCCTGAAAGTTCGGACCTTGAGAGTTTCGACCCTGAGAGTTCAGACCTTGAGAGTTTGGACCCTGAGAGTTCRGACCCTGAAAGTTCGGACCTTGAGAGTTTCGACCCTGAGAGTTTGGACCCTGAGAGTACGGACCCTGAGAGGTCGGACACAGAGTTCAGACCCCTCCAGTCTTGTGTTGTAGTTGTTTGTACAAAGAGCCGCTGGCCTGGAGTCGGACCCTCCGGTCCTGCTGTAATAGATCAGATCATTTAAAGGCATGCAAAAACGTTGTGGAGTTTGCATGACGGTGTTAGTTTTTGTAGCCCACCCTGCCCTCCTTATCGTGCACTTTACCATCGGACCTGACGAGTTAGCACATTAGCTACTGTTATTATTTATTTAGCTGTCGAACAGTTCTGTTGAAAAGTAAACACTGTTTCTGCTCCCTCCGAGTGACTCGATAGTTTCCACATCTCCTCCATCGGCTGCCTGTTAGTCTGCGAGTCTGTGGAGGAGTCCTCTCCACGCCGTCTGAATGTGATGCTGTGGGATAACTTCCTGTTGAACCTCCGCCTGGCCTTGTGTGTGCAGCATGCTTCCCCTCCTCTCTGGTGAAGATTGGTGTGTGTGTGTGTATGTGTGTGTGTGTGTGTTAGCAGCACAAGCGTGTTTCGACGTGCAAAGCACCTGGTTGCAGTTCGTCGGGTTGCAACAGTTTCAGAAACATTAAATGAATCAAAAGCTCATCATTTAGGGACTCCATGATCACAGTTTTATGATTTAATTCAAACCAAAGCCTTTCTTTCCTCCCCTCGTGTTCTTGAAACGTTCGCCGCTAAAACTCCAAGAGCACAACGTGAGTCAAGTTTACACTCAGAAATTAAAAAAAACTAGAGTATAAAAGTAAAACCCCGCCCCCCATTAACCACCAGCCCTCACTGCATGTTGGTCAGTCCATCAGTCAATCAATCAATCGATCTATTGATCCTGCTACAAAGCAAAGCCTGCCTCCACCCTGCTTTCCTTGTCACCTGTAGATGTTTGTGTCTGATTGGTGGAAAAATCTGTGGTTTCTCCTCCGTTTGAAGCTCATTCTGGAACTACGGTGGTGCTTTCTTCTTCACTTTACTTTCTGCTCTTATTCTTCTTGTTTTGTGTCTTTTTTTTTTTCTTGTACAGCTCGTTTCTCAGTCATGATCACACTCCAGGATCGATGCTCCTCTGCAGGTTTTAAGCTTTTATTTTGAATTAATCAGGAGGAAATCCATCAAATCACTTCCTGTTTTAACCTGCAGGTTCACAGAAAGAGGTCTGGAAACAGGTTTTTATTTTTAATCCGAGCGTTCAGCAGGACTTTCTTTTTACGTAATTATTTATCATGAAAGCAGCAGTTTGAGTCTGAATATTTAACCCTTCAAACCTCAGCTTTAGATCAAACAGAGGGCTATCAATTTTAGGACCACCACCACCATGAAGACCCTCACCTGACGTGAACCATGAGTTAAATATTTCAGATGAGATGGAGGCAGAAGTTCAAGTTAAACATTATTTCTTGTTGCAGATTAAACCATCCTAAAATCAGCAGAGAGCGTCTTCCTGTGTGTGATGAAGGACTGCAGCCTGTCAATCAATATTTAAAGAAGAATATATAAATATWTAACTGTAAATCTTACACAACATACTGCGTTTGTAAACCTGTACATGTTCGTGGCTGCGGGCCCTGACTGCTTCTGTTGGCTGTGTACAGTTCCTGTCAGGGCGGGACACCCGCAGCGGGAAAAACTAATCACTCAGAGACGACTTCGGTGCGACGCGGAGACTCCAAAGATTGATTTCCTGTTAGCAAAATAACCCACAGGTGTTGTTGTTTCGTCCCACGTAGACACGACGTGTGCTGCGTCCAAGTCAGTCGTATTTTTGCCCTCCCTCCTCCGCCGTCGGACCGTGCTCCTCCCTGATTTGACTTTTTTTCTTCCTGATTTTCAGAAACCAAATCCTGTTGGGTGTCCCGCTCCGAGAATACGTAAATATTTGTGTTTGTTGTTACCAATCAATTCCTTTGATCCTAACATGTCTCAGCTCTTTTTTAAAAAAATGAGACAGTATTTATTTCTATCAGTGTTTTGTTTTTCCCTTAGTGGGAGGAGTTAGGGGAGGGGTCACATAGATAGACCACACCCACATAATCCTTGCCATAACATGTAAGAAATACACTTATTGCTCTTATTATTATTATAACCATAAACGAGGAATCAAATGCAGTAAAACACTTGCAGAAACCCAGAGGGAGAGTGAACGGGTTCACACAAAGTGATCAAACTAAATTTTTAAACAGGAGGTTAACATAGCAATGGTTTCAAGAAAAGGAGTTTATGTTCTCATAAATAATAGTAGTAATATTGAATGCTCGCAATTTTGTCAAACTGAAACTGGATTCTTTGTGTTCTGTAATTATTGTAAATAACCTTAAAGAGAGAAAAGATGACTTGCATGTCTATGTATAAATCTACTGAGATATTATTCCTGTCAAAGTTGACGAGCAGTTCGACCTCTGTCCTCTCCTCACCTGTCCTCGGCCCCGCCCCCCGTCCCGTGCAGCTGAAAGACGACGGCATTGAGCTGAAATCGCGAAGCTTCCAGCGCCGTCGTCCGCCTCGCTCACTTCAGACGCTGCGTTTGGGTTCTGTCGGATTTTATTTTCTCACTCCTGTCGGCACAGTTCAGTTCCATCAGTCAGGAATAAAAAACGCAGCTACACATTCATCCATAACCCCAGCTCCAGAGGCTCCGCCCACTGGATCCTCTGATGAAAGTGCTTCCCTCCATATTAGGAAACTCAACCCCGCCTCCAGGGCTTTAGAAGCCACGCCCCTGATCATTTAGAAAGTCTTGCAGCCAACTCTCTGTTGGACGTCTGTCAGCCGCAGATCAACCTTTTTCTATCTGCTGTTTCCTCCAGCGTTTAGTCTGCACCCAGTCCTCCTGCCAGTTCATAGCCATATTCAAACGGTGCCAATCGAACCGACGGGAAACATTCAGACCAGTTAGAGCAGCTCTGAGGTCCACTGAGTGGAAACATCAGAAACCACGTTTGTTTTTATCATCACGTTAAATAAAAAGCACACGTCCTTCACGCAGACCACAGTCTTCATCGTCTTCATCCAATCATCTTCATCCTCACATGGAGCTCAGGTAAAGCTGAGTTTGTCAACAACGAAGCCTCTCAGAGGTCCGTTGTCTCTTCAGCCCAGAGTTTCTGCTCGCGGTCAGTCCTCCTGACGTACCTCAGAACACCTCCGCAGTCTTCCTCCTCTCACAGTTCTGTTCCTCAATTCCTGGACGAGATCTTGGCTGGAGTTGTTCTTCAATGTGTCAAAGAACTGTAAACAGGAAGTAAACGTTTKTGTTTGTAGAACGGAGCCGGTGGGTTTTTCCACTGTCAGTGCTCCTCTCGAGGCTTCAGGGTCTGCCGCCGCCCGTGGGCCTATCGTAACAAAGCGTGCAATATTCTGAGAACCAAGGGCTGACTTCCTCATGCCGAGGCAACGGGCCGGCCGCCGAGCACAGGCTCCTGCAGGAAGTCCACCTTCAAAATAAAAGACAAGACAGGGAAACACATTCTAGATGTCCGGCAGCGTCCCGGGGAGCGCTGAAGTTCTGGTTTTAGGGCTGGTGCAGACGGACGCTGCGTCCAGGGGAAACAGTGGACGAGAGACGGAGACGCGAGGACAAAAAACCTACAAACAAATAAAAAACAAAAAGGCAGAAAGAGGACAGCGGCATCGCTTTTCAAACTCAACTTTGACGGGAAATGCAACTTGTGTCCCGTTTTTTTTGTGTGTGTGTATGTGTGCGTAGCGTAATGTAAAAGCGATCTGTCCCCCTCCCCTCCCTCCCTGCC